GAAGAGCTGTTTCAGTAGAATGAGCTCTATGGAAACCTGACTGGAAGCTATCATAGATGTTATGTTCATCAAGAGCAGCTGTGAGTTATTTAGCCACAACCTTTTCCAAGATCTTGTAGATGAAAGGAAGTTTAGAGAAGGGTCTGGTGTGGTTATAGAGAAAAGGTTTAACATCAACAACCTCAACGTCGAGTTACACACAACTTAATATATGTGTGCTTTGACTGCTTGCTGCTTTTTTGCTATACTTTCTATTTTCTGTTTATCATAGAAAATTGGAAATTTCTGTTACACCTGCACCGTTTTGACTAACAGAACCTTGAGCTGTTGAAACACTGATTGTGAATCTATTTAGTGTTTAATAAAAGACCAGATTGCCTACTCAACACATTATTTACATTGTCAATTCAAGGCAATAAGCAAGCACATAAAGGTGAGCAACTGCTGGTCCTAAAGCTGACAAGGTCTTTTTAAGAAATTTTTTTTTTCTGCTTTAGATTCGGTGCCTGTAAAATGCTGTGCATCTAGGCTGTCTGCCCTCTGATTTAAATATGTTGGCCTAAATGATGAATGTTACTGCTTAATAAACTGTGACAGGAAATTAATGCTGCTGTTCAGAGCAGGTCTGTGAAGGTCATGTTGGGCGATGATGGTTGATGGTTTAATTGGTGTATGCTCTCAAGTCGTTCCCACTCAGACATGACATTGTAAAACTACTCCAATTGGTCAGTTGTCCTTTTCTTGCTCCAATTTATCAATTACCTAAAATATTTCATTTCTCTTGTTTGAAGGAAAACTCACTGCTGAACTCTTTCACTGTGTGAAAATCAGTGCATTAAGTTTTATGAATTTCTGGTTCAAGGATTCCAAAGGGTATGTTGTGATGAATTGCTTCAGTTCTGACAGTTTTATGGATTTTCCACATTACTTAAAATATCTTTTCATCAAAGGTCCTTGAACTTTTTTGGGGTTGTCATTGCCGTGTTTGGAAAGACTAAACAGTTGGGCACGTTGAAAATAGTCAGAACAAACAAGTGAATCACTGAGATTTTGGAGAAAGGCTGCTGGCTGTATATTTTACTCAGAAGATGAAGACAAAATCAGACGTGATACATGAGGTGTGCAGAGCTGCAAATTAACAGGTGCAAGATTCCAACAAAATTCTGATGATGTCATGTGTGCTGTGTGCCAAAAGTATAAATGAGCAGCATTTAGGGGAACACTAATGATGCATTTAGTTGAGTTTAACCCTCATTTCAGGTATTTAGTTATGTATTACTACATATATGTTGATAAATGCTTCAAAACAGCTTAAATTAATAGTTCAGATATTTAGAAATGGATGCAATTATGCTCTGAAATAATTATTTCTCATCAAATCTGTGAACTAAGGGTTGACAGTTTCAAGATTGGTTTTTTTAGAGAACATTTACTGAGAAACTCAACTTTCTCCTTTTGTTTTATTGACATACAATCGGTAACATGGGGTTTCTCATGCATGCTGACTGTGAAAATTGCTTTCTACCCTTATTTCCTGCATTACCTTTGCTAGAAAACAGATGGGGAAATGTGTGGGCCAGAAAAATCCACACAGATCTACGTCACACTGAAAAATATGCATTTGTGGACTCGTTGTTTTAGCTCTCGACTGGGAAAGGCTGTGTTGATTTTTGAAGCCACGAGAAAGCAGAGCATGTAGAAGCTAACCGTTAGCATTAGCATCTCCACAAGATGGTGAAAGTCCTTCAGGCTTGTGTTATTAGTGGAGATAAAACATCAACGTTGCAAAGCAAACAGTCAGTGGTAGAGTTGTGTTGCTGTTAGCCAGTCAGAGGCGATATGTCCAAATATCAGGAAATAAGCTTCCAAATCCTGCCGTGTTCACCTCAGCTGTGATCTGGTTCACTTCTAGTTCCTTAAAAAGGTGCTCCGGGGCTTCCTACCTCTCCACAAGTACAACTTACAAGGCATTTATTCCTTCCAGAGACTACACTAAATGTATTAAATATGTGAGTAAAGTGCCATTTTAAGTCAATCAACACATCTATCACAAATAATTAGGACTTAAGATTTAAGGTTAAATTACAGTCAATTCAGAAAAAGCCATTTTCACTCGTGGGGTTGTGCATAGATGCTAGCTCTATTCTATTTCCTGCATCCACACAGTCGATGGCAGTCACTGCTGAGGGACTCACTGCTTCACCTCAGCGGTTACCTCTGAGGTTCCAGCCCATGAATGGTAAACACCTTTGGGGGGAGCTAACCCTGCTAGAAACGACAGAGAGCACGCAGTGACAAAGAGTCACGGTTCACCATGATAGAATGTTGAGGAAAGAGCATTTGTTTTACAGCTGACTGACAGTAGGTTAATTGACTGAACTCCTGTTCAGTACAGTGTTTCACTCCCAGAGGCAGCTCTATTCACCGTCTAAGATCAAGATATTCATTCTGATCTGTGGCAAGCAGATGCACATGAAAGGCTACTGGGGTTGATGACATAATAATTCATGTATTATATTAAAACTGTGTGCTCTCCTGAGTGCCTGTGCTGAGACTCTGTTATTTATCTCAATGAAAAAATAAATGTGGAAGGTGGCGGACATTTTTAGTTTTAACGAATGGTCAGGTTAGTCACGATGTACGGCATGTTTTGGTCCCTATGTTCCATTGATGCATTTATGGAACTTAACATCAGTACTATTATTTGTACTCTTACATTACATAATATTTATAACTCTGTAAGCCCCCAGTTGGGGTTTAAACTGCCAACCTGCTAGTTAAAGGGTGAATGGCTGAGCCGCCATTACCCTTACTCATGTTAGAATGGCTACAGGTTTAACAAACTAATTTTACACTTTACTTTGTGATTTTAGGATATAATTTATTTTTAAAATTGTCACTTGTTGTGTTCTTTTACCTTAAATGTGTATGTTTATGGTGTTATGAGATGATGATGAAGTAAAGAAATAAGAAAACTATCTTTTATAGAGCGCCTCTCAAGATAAAAATCATGAGGCACTTCACATGAAAAAGTTTAAAAAAGAAAAAAAAAGATCAGAAATATCATAAAAATGAGAAAAAATGATGATAAAAATATGAGCAAATGAAGAAAGAACATGAATAAGAAAGAGGGAAATCAGTGGATCCTGAGGAAGGTGGAATAGGTGGGGAGAGCAGAATAAAGAGAGAGTGGTGAAGAAGGTCATACAAAAGCCAGCTTGAACAAGTGAGTCTTCAGCTGCTTTTTAAAAGGAGACCACTGAGTCCACTGATCTCAGGTTCAGGGGGAGAGAGTTCCAGAGTCTGGGGGCCACAGCAGCAAATGATCTGTCACCTTTGGTCTTTAGCCTGGTGCGCTGCACAACCAGTAGGCATTGATCACTGGACCTCAGGGACCTGCTGGGGGTGTAGGGACTAAGAAGATCACCAACGAAAGATGGTGCTTGTCCATGTAAGGCCCTATAGACCAGAACCAGGATCTTGAAATGAACCCTGAAGTTGACTGGCAGCCAGTGAAGCTGGAGGAGAAGCGGGGTGATGTGGGTGTGTTTGGAGGACTTGGTCAGAAGCCGAGCACAGGCATTTTCAACCACCTGTAGACAGTTCAGGGAGGTTCTGCTCAGACACGTGAAAAGAGAGTTGCAGTAGTCTAAGCGTGAGGAGATGAAGGTGTGGAGAACTGTCTCAAGTTCAGAGCGAGACAGAATGGGACTCAGCTTAGCAATGTTCCTGAGATGGAAGAAGGAAGAGCGAACAAGAGAACTGACATGAGAATCCAGGGTAAGAGCTGGGTCAAAGGTCACACCAAGAGTCCCGAGAAAGGGTTTGGTGTGAGAAGCAAGCTGACCAAAATGTTCTTTCACACATCACTTTATTAAAGTCTTGAACATAAATTTAGAAACTGAAATCTTTTAAGTTTGTCTTATTTTTGTATGTATAAACCTCACAATTTTTGACCTTTTATTAAAGAGGTTCTTCACTGACAAACCTTTTTTTTTACTTATTATTTTTGAAGATGATCAGTCACCATAAAGTTTATCTCTTACTAAATAAAATAATTACAAAGAAATCACAATGTAGCCATACAAACACTACATACTTGGTATATATGTTGTATGTGTGTGCCTGCTCTGTCTTCTCGATCCCCAGTGAGTCGTGGAGGATGGCTGTTTATACTGAGCCAGGATCCTCTGGAGGTTTCTTCCTGTTAAAAGGGAGTTTTCCTCTCCACTGTTGCTAAATGCTTGCTTTGCATGAGGATTGCTGTAAAGTAACTGACACTAGTCAGTGACTTGATGCAATTTTGCTGGGTTCCTTATAAAGGAAATTTTTTTTCTAACTGGCTTAATGAACTGACCTGAATTGGAATGTTTACCATGTGAAGTGCCTTGAAACGTCTCTTGTCATGATTTGGCGCTATATAAATAAACTTGAATTGAATTGAGTTTTTCATACAGGCTAAACATGACGATGGCCTCCTACACTGATCTCCTGCTTTAGCTTCTGATAGAAAATAGATCTTTACACTCTAGGATTTGAAAATCCTGACAGATCTACGTCACACTGTCACTTAACATTCATGGACTCACCCGTCACCTGAGCTACTGGTGCTCCTTTCCTATTAAAAATATAAGTGAAGGACCTTTTAAATCTTTATTTTTAAGATCTTTGATTCACAATACGTTTTGATATTCATTATGTATCTGAAACAAAATTATTACATCCACAAATGTCAGAAGAACACCCCTGAAAATAATCAAGATGAAGTATTTAGCCTTATTATCAGGCTGACTTTTATACACTTCCTGGGCTTGAAAGTAGATTTGTAGCAAAGTGTTGGAACTATGGATCTAATGAGTCCACTGGAAGGCACGGGGACATATTATTGGTCATCATGCATCATTATTGCACCAAACAGCAATTTTTATTTTGATGTCTATGGGGCTGCTGCAAAAAGAACTGCTGAGAAGTGTCAATCATCACCACACCAAAATCAAGAAAAGTGATAAACAACTGAAATATTTATTAACTGAAGAATTTTTTCACAGCAAAGTCTTATCACGACACAGTCTTCAAATGACACGAAACCCTTTTGAGTGAAAGTACACTGGCCACTCTAATTTGGAAAATGAGTAGATCTTTGTCGTGATCCTTACAGAAAAAACAGCACATCAGAAGAAGGTGGGAGATCTGAAACGATGATTGTTTTCTTTTGCTTTTCAAAAAAATTCAGGAACATTTTTAAACAGGAACTGAAACAATGATAATAAAAACATTTCTTTTTCTACAGCAGTTTTTCTTTACATGTGTTTGTGATGTCATGTTTCGGTTCAGATCACGTAAACACGTTGGGAATTTTTAATAAAAGCTATGTTAATGCAACGTAGCTAGCAAACTTGGCACAGACGTCAGAAACAGAATTTTCCTCATTTTCAAATTATTTTTGTGTTAAACTTTAACAAGTGACCATAATCAGAGATACACACATAAATAAATTCTTAAAACATTGAAAATAAACCATGGTAGATACTAAAAGGGTTAAGGCAAGAATACAAAAATAAAGAAACAGTAAAAATAATAGAAATGTTGCTTCTTTCTTATTCGATTTATGACACTCAGATCCTAAGAAGCTGTGCTAGTGAGAATTATTCACATTATCTTATTTTCTTTACAGTTCCCTTCCATTTACACAATATTTACAGCAATATTGAACTTATACACAGAAAGAAAAGTAATCCACTAAAATTAAAACATTATCCATAAACACAAGGCTTATTTAAAAAAACTGTATAATTTCTTCATATTGTCAGTATGTAAAACATTTACACACACACTTGCAAGTAGTGTTGTGCAGTAGTCACATTTTATATCAAATTGATCAACAGAGCAACTTCAAAACCTTCAGTTCACATTAACTTTTGTACAAATATTTACTTTCAATTGCTTTTTGTTGTTTTTGTGTGTGATATGCATAAAAAAGTGTTAAAACATAATGAAATATGAGCCAAGAGAAAGGTGGTGGTGATGGAAACAACATTCTGCAGGCTTCAATCGTGTTAGTTAAAGAATTAAACCCAAAAAGTGTTTCTTCTGCAAAACTATGAAGCGAAACACACATTTTATGTTGTTTATGTCTGAATTGGGGCCAGTATTTCATTGGGCTGTGACCACTGGTGACAAATTGTAAATGGCACTCACAAAGGAGCACATCTGTGCTGGTGCTCTAATGACTGGACTGAGTTGAAAGGCATCACACTTGTATTGCAGGAAAGCTGAACACCTTGAAAAGATTATATTTTTCTTCTTCAAATAGTCTGAGTCACTGCTGGCATCCTGGACTGACCTGGAATTCTTTATTGTTTGAGGTGGAAACTGCAAGAAATTTCATATAGAGGAAGGGTTGGCAACCAAATGGTGAGAAAAACCGTCAACAAATTCAGATGTTTGACTTAAAAGCCACAAGAAAACTGTCAGTTCCAGTTTAGTGGCAGTTGTCTAAACTCATCACCAATAGCCAAAGCCATATGAGATCCTAGCTTAGAGAGAGAGAGAGAGAGAGAGAGAGAGAGAGAGAGAGAGAGAGAGAGAGAGAGAGAGAGAGAGAGCTGTAGCCGTTACATTTCATCATGAAAGTGCAGAACAAATATGATGCACAGTAGTAGAAATTAGGGCTGGGCGATATGGCCTAAAATCAAAATCACGGTATTTTGAGGTCAGCTCGATAACAATGAATGGACAATAACTACATGTATGTGAAAAAACAAAAGCTGTCCAGTAGATAGGGCTGCAGCAGCCAGCCACTTTTATTGATGGTATTATTAGATCAGTTAAACGCAATTACTTTTACTTACTACTTTAAAAACTTCCATCTGAGTACTAACTACTTTTAGTTGTTAAGATTGAAAAACCAAGAAACTCAACAAGTAGAAAAGTAAAACAACAAAAATAAATTCCTGCAGACACAAAATAATTCTGATAGTCTCATATCCTAAATCTTGACATTACCACGAGCTGCATCATGTGTACATTGTCCAATTTCATTTGTCAGCCAGTCGGGTTCTCTAGAAAGAGTGGTTGTACTAAAGGTGGAGGAGGATGCGTTACCTTGACTTGTTGCTAGTCTTTCTGGACTTTTGTTTTCATCACATCACCTGTGCTGAATCCATGATGTTACCAAATGATTGATGAAGCAATTTTTTGGAACAAGATTCTCTTCAAACAAATCTACCACTGCCGCTTGTAGCCCGCTGATCATCTGTCATGGCTGCCCGCCATTAACTGCAGAGCACCATGGCTCGGGCACTAAGCAGAGAGCTACCGCAAGTGGCAGGAAGCTAAGCCATGAACGACAAGCAGCCATACAGCCCACGAGTAGCGAGTGACTAAGAGAGACGAGCTTCTGGCAGTCTGATGCTTAAACATTTGAATCTTCCTCCATTTCCTGTTTTATTCCCCCTTTTTGTCACATACGGACTGAATGGGGTCGAGTCAGGTGATTCTACATGACTAGCCGTGATGCAGACTCCACAGGTCTGTCACATCAGCAACCTATGCTGGTAAAATTGATGCCGGTAAAGTAAAATTTTTGTTTTACTTCCCAGCTCTAGTAGAATTCCTCCAGCATGGACTAAAATCACCTAACGTGTGATTATGTGTGTTTTAATGTTCAGATCAGGGGTGTAATGGTACATGTTTTTGTTTTGTCTTAACTCTGTCCATAGTTAGCAGACATATGAAGTACATGATCTATTCACAAGTCTCAGCTGAGCATTCCTTCCATCTACACGTTTATTTACATTCAATCTGCTCGTAGCCACAGCAGAGATGGGAGGTAGGACTCACAAGCAGTTGTCTACGTTTTTTGGTAAAGACTTTTAACACCAGACACATAAATTTTTTTTATCATATTTAAGGTCAGACCCACGATCTGCTTGACACTGTTATTTTAATTTTAAAGAAGAAACGTCTTGTTGTACAATACCCATAACAAACCGTGACCCTTCACACTGACGTACACACTGAGCAGTTGCACCTGAGTTCAGGTTGCTTTCGTACACTCACTGGATGCTGCTGATTCAGGTGCCTAAACAACATCTTCAATAAAAATATCTTCATTTTTGCTTAAACAAGAAGCTTTTTGTAGATGTTGTATATTTGGAATAGTGACTAATTAGATCCAGATACTTTTTCTCAACTGTGGTAAAAGATTTTATGTTTTGTGTAATTTTCTTTGAGAATTATCTTGAGGAAATTATCTTTGCTTTGTTCTGCACCATCACAATTTTTCCTCTAAAGCAGAATAAAACCTGTCGCTATAAAAGCAAGAAAATGTTGAGTTGGAACGAGCTAAAAAAACACACACACAACTTGATTAATAGAATGGTTTAACTTAACTAGGGTATCAGTTTTTTATATTAAATTAAAGGTGCAATATGTGAGAATTTTACAGTAAAATAACAGATTGTTGAAACAGATTCTGGAGGAGCAATGTGGTTTTCGTCCTGGCCGTGGAACACTGGACCAGCTCTATACCCTTAGGGGTATCCTGGAGGGTGCGTGGGAATTTGCCCAGCCAACTACATGTGTTATGTGGATTTGGAGAAGGCGTTTGACCGCATCCCTCGGGGGACCCTGTGGGGGGTACTCTGGGAGTATGGGGTACCAGGCCCTATGATACGGGCTGTTAGGTCCCTGTATGACCGGTGTCAGAGCTCAGTCCGCATTGCCGGCAGTAAGTCGGGTTCGTTCCCAGTGACAGTTGGACTCCGCCAAGGCTGCCCTTTGTCACTGATTCTGTTCATAACCTTTATGGACAGGATTTGTGGGCACAGCCAAGGTGTGGAGGGCATCCGTTTTGGTGGCCTGAGGATCAGGTCTCTGCTTTTTGCAGATGATGTGGTCCTGTTGGCTTCATCAGAACGTGATCTTCAACTTTCGCTGGAGCGGTTCGCAGCCGAGTGTGAAGCAGCTGGGATGAGGATCAGCTCCTCAAAATCTGAGACCATGGTCTTGATTAGGAAAAGGGAAGAATGGCTTCTCCAGGTCAGGGATGAGGTCCTGCCCCAAGTGGAGGAGTTTAAGTATCTCGGGGTCTTGTTCACGAGTGAGGGAAAACTGGAGCGTGAGATCGATAGGCGGATTGGTGCCACGTCTGCAGTGATGTGGGCGTTGTACCGGTCTGTCGTGGTGAACAGAGAGCTGAGTCAGATGGCGAAGCTCTCGATTTACCAGTCGATCTACGTTCTTACCCTCACCTATGGTCATGAGTTTTGGGTAGTGACCGAAAGAACGAGATCATGGATGCAAGCGGCCGAAATGAGTTTTCTCCGAAGAGTGGCTGGGCTCTCCCTGAGAGATAGGGTGAGAAGCTCGGTCATTCGGGAGGGGCTCGGAGTAGACCCGCTGCTCCTCCACATCGAGAGGAGCCAGTTGAGGTGGCTCAGGCATCTGGTCAGGATGCCTCCTGGACGCCTCCCTGGTGAGGTTTTCCAGGCACGTCCAACCGGGAGGAGACCAAAAGGTAGACCCAGGACACGGTGGAGGGACTATGTCTCTCACCTGGCCAGGGAACGCCTTGGGATTCCCCTGGAGGAGCTGGCCCAAGTGGCTGAGGAGAGGGAAGTCTGGGCCTCTCGCCTTAGGCTACTGCCCCCTCGACCCGACTCCGGATAAGCGGATGAAATGGATGGATGGATGGAATAACAGCAAACAGTCAAATCTCTCAATTATGTTGGAAGGAGTGTTACCTTGTAGCAGATTTTATTCTGAGCCCACAGGGGGGTTGTCAGTTTTTCTATATTAAACGAGGTTCTTTGACTTTGGACATGAAGATGTCAGTTTTTATCCTTTAAAAAATAAAAACGAGAGCAGAATGTGGTTACTGTGTATTTGTGAGGTTGCCAAATCTGCAGCGAGCGAATGCAGCATCACCGGCACTTGTAATTACACACCAGCAGGCAAAAATGTCCAGAGATGTTTAAAGAGTCTAAGCCAGTCAGCAGGAGCGACCCAGAAGTTGTTTCTTGTACCCCCTAAGAAGCCACTGCAATGTTTTTGTTTTACTCTAATGTCAGGTGAAGCAGACTAGAATGAATTAGACCAACAACAACAACTTGATATTACAGTGAAATGAACGTGTGAAGTGAACAATGAGTCGATCGTGGCGTTTTACTTCCTTTAATGGGTTGTTTAGAACTACAACAGCAGCAAGCAACACTTCCTGTAATGCCAGAGATAGACTACCATAATAAGTGCCCTAAATGCTCCATACCATAAAACACCCAAGAGAATTAACACCAGATATGACAAACTATTCATCTACTTATCAAATTACGGTGTATGACTTGTCTTTACTTGTCATCTAGGATCTTCTGGCGTTGATCTGTACTGACAGCAGCCATGAAATCCACAGAACAGGATTAAGTTTTTGCTTAAAAAATGGACTTCAGTAACCACATTTGACCACAGGATGTCATTCTTACAAATTGCACCTTTAAATATGACTTATGAAAATTCTGCTGCCACCATGTCATTGTTTCAGGAACACAACAACACATACTGTTCAGTGCATGTAACAAGAAAATGTCAGACATTATTCCACATTTTGTCTGGCTTTTTATGTGGGAGGGGGAAACTGACACAGTGCAACAACAGTGACACTCAGGAGAGAACATTTACACTTTTAAGACAACCAGAGCGAGGTGTGGAGTAGAGAAATGAAGCAGGAGAGCAGAACAGTGTCAGAGTCGTGAACTGTAGCAGGAGAAGCACCCGGCTGTCCTGCCTTATTAAGCCTGGCTGTCTGTAAACAGACTCAACACTCAGTGACCTCCTGGCATACTCAAATCCACGACTGTGTGGCATGGCTTTAATTATCCCATGTCTTTGCCTTTTTTCCATTTTGTTTTTCTATTTCTGTCCCTGTGCCATTCTGTATTCCATATGGTGCTGAGCAGAAGAGCCCCGGGAGATGAGGGAGAAGTCCAGGCCATCACCAGCTGGGTGGATTTGATCAACAGCTTGGGCCGGTGCTTGTTCTGACCTGCGAGAACCGCTTGTGCATTGCTTTCTGATAATGTGACTGTAGTTGTTAAGCATCTTGTGGTCGTATTCACAGCAGAGAGAGTGACGCTGAGGGACATTGTTGGAGACAGAAGTGATAATGGACAGGGAGAGGTGATCCCCGGTTAAGAGCCTGAACACTGTGAAGAATGTCATTCCTTTAGGGTTCAGGGTTTGTGTCGGCACAGCTTTTCCTGCATAAAACCTACATTTAAAGATGTAAACGTTTGTATTCTCAGGATTCAGGTTTATAAATGTATACATTTTCTGGTGCTAAAGAGGAGCTGTGCTATTCGTGAACATGTTGACTTTACAGGATGTAGAATATTTGGATGAAATACCGAAAACAGAAGCCTCAGCTTTAACGATTACCGTCAGCAGCAGCTAAAAACAAAAGACGGCAAAAATATTGTCCAAAGTTGCTTTTGATAACCACACTGAAGGCATATTCAATGTTGATATATTAAAACCACGTGAAGAAAACCCCAATGCAAGGTACTGCAGCTGTGAAAAGGGTAAAGAAAAGGTCCCTAAAATATGTATGATGCCACTAACGGGAGAGGTCAGTGCTGGACTGGAAAATGAAGGTAACAATCTTTACATTCCAGTTTAATTCAATAAAAAATCATTTGATGTGATGGCATTCTGTTTTGTTCCCACTGCTGTAACTGTTTCGTTAGATAACCAAGCAGCTGTGAGCCTATTTTCAGACGAATAAAGCACCTCGACATGTGATCAGCTGTTTGCTTTCTGCTCAGAGACACTACAAAGGGTTAACCCTAACCTCAAGACTTTAAGTGAACTAAAATCAAACACGTACACAACACACAGTGACTGTGGCGAGAGTAACGGTGATCTCAGCCTCCTTCTGAGTCACAAAAACACTCACACACTTTCTCAACGTTCATCATTTGAGTTATGGCATAAAAAGCACAGCTTCAACACCCAAGTCTGTCCGTTGCGTGTTTTCTGTGCACACACTGCCATGCACGTGTGTGTGTGTGTGTGTGTGTGTGTGTGTGTGTGTGTGCGCGTGTGTGTGTGTGTGTGTGTGTGTGTGTGTGTGTGTGTGAGAGAGTTGGTCTTATGGATCCAGGAGGAAAATTTGTCTGACGGTGGAGGGACTGTGACTGTCCCGTTGTGAAGGGAGGAGAGAAGTTTTAGTTGTTCTGAAGGCAGTCAAGATCCACTGAGCAGCAAACGTTCCCGTTCTTCAAGATGCAGCGTGACAAGAAGACAGAGACATCAGATACGTTAGTGGTGCAACTCAATAAACATGATTACAATCCAATTATAATCCAAAGTGCATTGAGAAGTAGGGCTCAACCATGCCGCCTGTGATACTTGTAATAATAATAATCTCTTCTTGAGCTGACTCCTGAGGTTAAACCTTTTTTTCTGCAGCTCAAGGACAAATTCTCTAACAGCTGAACAGTAAAACCTGCCAGTTCTGTCAGTGAAGTTATTAAACCTGTTCACACCAGACATGAACAAAGCCTCAAGAGTTATGAAACTCTTATAATGTGCTGAAATGTCTTTACAGCTGACACTTTATGTTTCCAAAAAACTTTAGTACTTCCAAACTGTTGTGTCATGGGTGAGAGTTTCAGCATTGAGAAAACAATGCCAAAGTTGCTCAGACATTCTTATTATCAAACAGTGGTTTCGACATCCATGGAGTCAACGTGGCATGTTTGTGGTCTGAATAACATGGACTACAGGTCCTGTGGTACCTGTCCTGACCAGGAGGTGTTGCTAAAGGGAAAATAATAGGGCTGCAGGAGGTGTAGCAGAAGAAGAGTTTACATCAAGTACACTTTTCATAAGCAAACACAATGGCCATTTCTCAATACCAAAGTACACTAGTACATTTCTGCGTACTTGCAGAGAACATTCTCGGCAAGTACAGCAGAAAGTCTGTTCTACTGAGTACGGGCGGACGAGGACGACATTTGGAGCAGAACCTTACTCCGTTACTTCATGGCAACAAGTGCCTCAAAAAAAAGTGACCTCAAATAAAAATAAAAGTCTAGATTTATTTCAGTAATTCAACTTAGACTGAGAGACCATCTAAAAGCTCAGGATTCCTTTGCAGGTGTCCTGGATTTATTAGCTGATTAGGGCACTTTGAGTCTAGAATATTGGACCAGGGTTTCCCCCAGCGCTTTATAAGCCTGGTGGCCCGCCAGGCTTTGCTTGGCCACCCGCCAGGCTAAGCGTCATGCACTGCTCCCTCCCCGACCCTACCGTGTCCGTGACACGAATGGCACAATGACACTTGAGCCCTCCATTAGCTAATTCTGGTGAGAAACAGCAGCAGAACATGTGCAACCCCCCACCCCCGCTCTCACGGAGGAGCGCTGCGGGAAACCCTGTTCAGATCGTATCACGTTTTTCAAACACGGATCGGATCATTTTTCAGATCAGCAAAAAGAAAATAAAAGACAAATAACGTTGCACTCTCTTTATTTTGTATGACCCAAGTCTTTGGTGTGACCCAACCGTGGATTTGAACCCATGATTTAGCAGTTTCAGGGCGGACACTCATGTTGCCACGATATTTCACAGGTAATTTTGTGTGAAGTAGAAACTCGACGTTTGAACAGTATGTTTGCAATGATTGTGAAAATCTGCAGCCTGCTGCTAGAGTTTAGGGGCAAAGGGAGAGTCTCTGTAGCTTTTAATGAGGCCCTAACCAGGGAAAAGAACAAGGCATAGGTTTACAAATCTGGCAGATAAACTGGGCATGGCTGTAGCTTATTCTATGTTGTAAATGGAAGGAAAGCCACTGATGTTTTGTCTGCAAAAGATGCTTTGAATCACAGACTTGGCACCAAAGAAAAGACTCCAGTGCATTGGAGATCAAATATTGAACACTTTGTGCTGTGTCAGAATTAGAAGGAAAGTTTGTAATAAGAATATTAAAATGAAACATTTTAAATGTGTGAAAGCACAACGTGTTCCCTGGTGTTTCATTTCTATTTTGAATTCTGACATTTTTGTATCCAAACGAAAACAAAAGGTCTTCTCTGGTGGTTACTTTGAAGTTGTTTGCAACTTTTCGAAAAACCAGCATGGGAGGTTTTGAGTGTTCACACTGCATCCATCTGTAGAATTAAACATGTGGATAGGTCTGTGGTTATAGACGACACAACAATGTATTGTTTCTTTTGAAATCTGTCTTTGATTAAAGCTTTTTTTAAAATTGCAAACAGCGAGTGATTAATTGTTGCCTTCCCCTGAAAAACAGCTAACACAAATTTAATAAAAGTGGACTGAATAGGATCAAGCTGAGATAATGATTTCTAAATTTAAAGGATAATTATAGTTCAATTCAAGCTGTGAAGTTTTCATTGTAGCTATGTTTTATTTTGGCTTATTTTGCACTCTCCCGTTTAGTGGAAGTGATTTAGAGAGGCAACGAGTTGCAAAAAAAAAAAAAAACAGTGATTAAGGTCTGTTTCCCCTTTTTTGCAACTCAAAAACAATTACCTGAGGCTGATATGTGCTGGACTGATTTCACATCAGAAAACAACATTTTTGATCCATTTAAACAGAACTGACACCTGATTGAGGGTTCTTTAACCCTCCCACTGTCCTAATGGTTGTGACCCCGCAAGGAAAGTTGACCATTGAGCAGGGTTGATGGTTTATCCCTTGGGTCCACGTGGGAGGGGTGAGGAGTGAGCACCACCTCACTTTCCTTGCGGGGCCACCCATAAAGACAGTGGGAGGGTTAAAAAATATATAGGCTTTATGTCAAAAAGCCAGGAGGTAACGCTGCAGACGCCGGCCCATAGAACTCCGGGAGTTGACGTCACTTCTCCCGGCATGGAACAGTTCAAATCGAAACGGCGCCATCTTGGCAGGCAGAAGCCCGCAGCTGGGCTATTTGTTATTGTCAGAAAACTCAATCAAATGGGAAATATGGTAGATTCCTGTTGTGCCCCAGGATGCCAGAACAGACGCGGATGCCATAAGGGATGAGCCATCTACAGGATTCCCCAAGATCCAGAACGCCGCAGCAACTAACCGGCTAAACTGTATATAATTTTTAAGCAATGGTTGATCAATTGTCAGATCACACATAAAAAGCACTTTGGATTGCTATTATCTGTCTCACCGAGTCAGATCTCATACAGATCCTGAGACGCTCCTGCCTGAAATATTTATTCACGGAAAAAAATCAAACTAGTGATTTCTCTTGGCGTTCAGTTTATACATTCAAACAGCACAGCACTCTATTTAAACTTCTTACATGTAAATCTATGTTACTTGTCCATCCATCCATTCATTTTCATCCGCTTATCCGGAGTCGGGTCGCGGGGACAGTAGCCTAAGTTGAGAGGCCCAGACTTCCATCTCCCCAGCCACTTGGCCCAGCTCCTCTGGGGAAATCTAAGGCGTTCCCTGGCCAGGTCCGCTCCGACAGCTTCTGACATTTTTAAAAAGTATCCCAGGGGCACGGTAAGGGTCGGAGATGATTAATCTATTTAATTTATGACTATATAAAATGATTTCTTCGGTTTTAAAGTGTGAAGTAAACTCCAACGGAGTAAAATCCAAGCCGATCCCGTTCATTTTGTTTACCTTTGTTACCTGCCAACATGGCGTCTACTCTCTGAGAGTTACGTGACGTCTAGAGCTCTATACTGGCAGCACAGACCTGGAAACACAAAGGAGGGGGCGCTTCGACTGACGCACTAATGCCGCAAAGCACTATGGGATTTGTAGTCTTTGCGGCCAAATGGGCAGGTGGGCCAGTTTTATTATATATTTGATATTTGATCTTGCAGGCCAAATAAAAATAGACTGTGGGGTCTTTCCCTGATTCTTGATACCAGAACTAGATGGCATACACCCCAAAACAACTCCTAAAACAGGAAAAATACTGTCACATACTAAACTTTACATGAATTGATGCTTAAGGTAATAACTGGGTTCATGTGTGAAAAGACAACTTGCTGCTAGTTTTAGCTCAGACATACCTTACACTTGCAGGTGGTGCAGGGAGACTTGGGCATGTGCCATGTGTCCCCACTGAGGCGAGTGACACCTGTGGGGTCTTTGCACGTCTGCCGAATGTCATAGGACAGGTTGTCGGCCAGGCAGGGGTCTGAGATGCAGCGCGGGCAACACTCACCCTCTGCAACTGCCGTGTACTCGCACGTCAATGTGGGACAGACTAGAGGCCAGCAGTCCACCTCCCCCTCCTGCAGAGACACAGACCGGTGAGGAAAAGTATAAAAATGAGGGAAAAGCTGCTGGGTTTTCAGAGTGGATGCTGTAACAGCTCACATGCTGATGTGTTGTCACATCTTACATTTCAGAGTTGGTAATTATCTCAGCCATCACATGCAGCTGAGCAGCAGATCAAAGGGACGAATTAGACGTCTCAGCTCTGAGCTTTATCTTCACAAAAAGATTCAGTTTTTTTGTTTCTTTTTTCTAAGATGTTCACACATTTGAGGATCTGATTCTAATGAATGGCATTTAGCTGTGCTAATAAAACACTTCTGATCTAAGTGAATATGTGAGACTTTCCTCCTACTGCCCTGCTGTCCAATCCTGGTCCCTGAGGAACGTCATCCTGTATGTTTTGTTTTTCTCCTGCTGCAACACACAGTGGTTAAATTACTTGCTCAGCATGATCTCAACTTCTGTAGAACGCTCTTTATTGTCCGTTGATTCAAACCGGATGTGTTGGAGCAGGGAAACATCTAAAAGATGCAGGATATTGTACCCCAGGGGCAACTATTTGACATCCACTGAACGTATGCTGTGTGAATGTACAGACCATGCAGCGGCACTGCTGGCAGCCGTACAGCCAAGTCGCTCCACTGTGGTAAAGTGTACGTCCACTCTGGTCCAGACACTGACTGCTGGGCCTGTTGTCACAGCTAGGACAGCAGAACAGGTCCTCACTGGCGTCTTTGCAGTCACAGGGTCTTCTCCTGCAGTATGTCTGTCCATCCTAAACAACAACAGTCACAACAGAAAAACAAATGATGAATAATGGATTATCATTGATCATCTGCACTGCTGTACTTCTGCCCTCAAAAATCAAATACATAACTTCAGACTCAACAACTATTGAAAAGTCATGTTTACTTACACAACCACGAGAAAAGTAACTATGGGATGTGTCTATATAAGGTGGGTGACTACAAATGCCTGCAATGAATTCTGGGTTGGGCTGCACAGTGGAGCAGTGGTTATCACTGTTGCCTTTCACCAAGATGGTGCCAGGTTGAAATCCCGGCCTGGGGTCTTTCTGCATGGAGTTTGCATGTTCTCCCTGTGCACGTGTGGGTTCTCTGGGTACTCCGGCTTCCTCACACAGTTCAAAAATAGGGATATCATGTTTATTGGTCTCTCTAAAACTGTCCTCAGTTGTGCGTGTAAGTATGCATGGTTGTTTGTCCTGTGTGTCTCTGTGTTGCCCTGTGATGGTCTGGCAACCTGTCCAGGGTGAACCCCATGTGTTTGCCCAAAGACTACTGGATATAGGCACCAGACCTCCACGACCCTGCATGGACAAGCAGGTAAAGGAAATGGCTGAATGGATGGAGTTCTGGGTCTGCCCCAGGATAAGTGGGACATGTCCAGAAAACCTACAAAAAAAGGTGACCTGAAGGAATTCTTATCAGATGCTAAAAATACCTCATTTCAGGAAGTGTAAAGCCTGAGCCACACAGAAGACTGATGCGGCATGGAAGTGCCGCGGTTTTGGAAAGTCAAAATGTCTCACAGGAAGTGTCGCACCACTGAGTGATGCTTGTAAAGTTGTGGAATAGTCACAACATCACGCGGGACTTGAGAACAGGAAGAGGAAAGGGACTCTTTTGTTTTTACGTGACCAGACTTGCTGTCATGTTTTGTGAGACACAAATTCATCAAAAATGGGTACGTACACTATTTAGTAGAATATTTTAAGATCAATAGTACTGCAGTTGTGCCATAAAACCGTTCTGCGTCGTAATGTCTGTTGTAAAGTACTCCACAATGCTGTAACAGCGGAAATAGAACTGGCGCCCATCTTCAGCGCCTCGGCACTTCCGGGGCGTGGCGTTGCGCTCCCCGTGTAGCCACTCTCAGTGACTATAATGGCTTCTTTGTAAAATAACATGGCGCGGGTCTTCTGTGTGCCCCTGGCTTAAGGGTTAGAATGCAGACAAACAAGTACATTGGGTTCATCAAATGTAGTCTCAGCTGCTTCCAAACTACAACATTCACAGCTAAACTCTTCTTGCAGAAAATTATCTGTAGGTCCATCCATCTTTTGTTTCATTCTACCACAAATAAAACTTTTCCTCTTGATATAACAGGAACATTAAACTATTTTCTGATAAAAAACAAACAATGGCCTTAGATAGGCAAAGTATTATGGACTCATAGTGAATTGGTTCCTATGAGCCAATAGATGAAATAAATCCAGAAAGTGGCCAGGTCATGTGGGACATATGATGCTTCTGCAACATTTGTGCTAATAAGGAACAAGCACGTTGTTATGGACTCTACTTTATCCACAAATGATCTAAATTAGTTTCTAAATTGTCTCCATATTTGATTTGTTCACAAATCCCTCCCAAAGGTGTCTCACGTTTCCCGTGCTACCTGACAGAATCTAAACAGAGAAGGTTTCCAGACACCTGCAACAACGCTGAGTATTTAGATGGGATTGTCTTTTGTGAATTCATCCTGAACTCAACATTATTAAAAATCGAACGAGATAAAAAATGAGATTCCATGACCAATTAAACTGGGAACACTGGTGAAAGTTTTGTCCTGTTTCTGAGAGCTTTAGCTATGATACGAGCTATATATGATACATTTTCTAAGAAATTTTAAAATCAAACAACCAACAAGTACTTAAGTTACAATATCAGAAATATGTTTTGTCAGTAAACCTGACATCACATGCAGCAATTTAACATTCACCAAAGACAAAGTCTTTAGCGTGCTGATCACCGACACAAAAGTGACAAAGTAGAAAAAAATATTTCTAATTTAACAGGAGCACTGAAACATTTGCAGGGGGCCCAGCTGCTTAACTGACGTTCTCTCTTCCAAACGGAGAAACGGCAGCAACTTCCCAGTCTTCTGTGGATTGCTAATGAATTCAAATCCCCAGCCTGAATCATCGTCCCAGTCCTCCACTGACTGTAAATGTTTCTGTTAGATAGGTGTCTCTAGAAAATATACGCATGTGTGTACATCCCTTTATCCTGATCCATTATTGATTATTGGATGCTTCCAAGGTTAGTTTCTTTACATGCTAATGTTTATTAGCGATCTTGCTATGCAGTCGCGCTACGACTACTCAAAATAAATTAACATTTTTGCATGATGTTTTTATACCATTAGGGACGATCTTAAAAGAGGTTACAGTTTGGAGTTGACCCAGATGCATATTTCTTTTAAGTATTTATTGGCTTTCCCTGATGGATGGTACATATGGATCATTTTAGAAGGTAGCTTACCAAGCTTACTAAGGTTTTAAAGTGCTACAGCAATTAAATTTTTTCAAAAAGCTAAACTATAGTCTCAGTAAGAATAAAATGTCACAGGAGTTTGGTAGCAGTGCTGTGGTGGGATCGAGTCAGACTGATCTTTAATCTTACGGTGACGCCAGCTCTGTCTGTACCTGGAGAAAACGTTATGACCCATTTTACTGAGCACAGATAGCACTGTCTGGCCCCAGGACGGTTTTGTTATAGAGATATAAAAACGTTACATAAAAAGGCTGTTAGGGAATGTATGACAGCCATAAAACCACTCTGCATGTCATTAAAAGGGCAGCGCAGAACCACTGTTTTATTGATGCATATTGTCCTGCTATGGTAACTGCTCAGTTATGTGGTGCTATTTCCAGTGGCCTTGGTCTGTGGAGTTACGGCCCTCGGCATGATGGGAAAGTACTGCCAATTGTAACGTGCCAACAGGGTACATTTATGACAGCAGACTGCTAATTTTATCGCCAGCAGAAAGGCCCTTTCTGCATGCAAATGCAACAGTGTTGTTTTAACCAAACCAACAGTGGAGCTGCTTTATGACTTCATGACTCTCATGACAGAAACTTTATGGCAAATATTTGCTTTTTCAGCACAGTCATAAAGCTAAATGTTGGTCTTTTTTGGAATCGTTTCCATTATTCTAAATGTTTATTCAAAAGCATGCTGCATGAAATTATGGTGCAAGCTTAATCTGGAAACCATTTCACAGATTAAATTTCAGCCATTTGTGGATATTCTACTGGCAGAACTAGTAAGTTTAGAGGTTTTGACACACCCAGACAGGTACAGAATCCAGCGCATAGATCCAGAATTTTTTATGTTCTGTTATATTTGTGCCAGATGTGTTTCTGAGATGATATCTGTCATTTCTGCAATTGACAAAAAAAAACAAACAAAAAAAACAAAAACAAAAAAAAAACAAAAAAAAAACACATAATGCATGTTAATACCACATTTTAAGTGTTTTATATCAAACAAAGGCTATTTTTTATGGTTCTGAAGCATCATATCCTCCATATAAAACAGATTCAAATAGGCAAGATTTAGTGTGCTAGTAAAACATGAAATATCATTAAACACTTTGAAATAACACTGTAATAAATCTGACTTTTATGTCCACTAAAATGCATCAAGGTAAGATTTCTGAAAACATAAAAAAGTAACACAACAGCTGAAATGCTGTGACTGTAAATTTTGGAGTTTATGAGCTGGATCACTGAAATCACAGCTCCCAGCTGTCTATTTATTCCAAACTTTTTGTTTCATATATATCTCACTCTCTGAGCCTCCTGTACTCAAAGACAAATATGATCAATATCCAAGCTTCTTGCAGCTACAGTGCAGCACAGAAGACCATTAAGCCATCACAAATATTTCTCAGAAATATCTCGAGATGATAAATTGGTGTGAGGACCAGAAATACTACACATGATTTTTGTCAGTATCTCATAACTTTCTACAAGATATTGGCTAAATCAACAATATTTTATCAGTTATGGTGTAGATTTAGATTGTGAATGGAAATAATGAGATTAGATCTTTAGATGTTTTGGGACTAACCATACTATCAAGATCATAATCAGTCTCTTTGCTTCCTGCCTGTCCACTCTGGTGCGTAAAGTAAATGCAGTCTAAAGTGCCACAAACACAATAAAGGCTACAGCACAACAGGAGGAATATCCCACATCCCTCTTACTCTAGAGTAAAACTGTTCTGGCATGTTGTGGCGCCCGGATCAACCATTCTGTCTGCTTCAACTGCCAGGACAGGACAGGTTAGAAAAGATCATAATCAGTCAGACATTATTGAGTATGGCTGAAACCAGACTGTTTCACACTGGAAGCATCAAGCGGGGTGGAATGTTTTACTCGCGAGGTTCAACATGGTCCATTACACACCGAGAGTGTCTTGGCCGCAGAACGGCTTCCTCGCTGGACTCTCAAGATCACAGATCCCTCGACACTTCAAAGATCATGGTTTGTTTATGCAATCTGTCATTAAACCAAAGAGAAGGAAATCACATTTGATATTGCTGTTTGATGTTATAGATCAGGGCTTCCCAATTTCTTTTTTTGAGGACCCCCTTGCTCATGTCCAAGACAAGCCAGGATCCCTAGCCCCAACTCCTACATGCGTACACACGTTAAATGTGATCATTTACCATCTTTATACAGACACACAGTTATAAATTATATATGGAGTTCTGATTATACTGTAGGGTGTGTTATTGGGAGTTTATAAATGTAATTTTTACAAATAAATTCTCGCTAACCTCACAATCTCAGCAAGGACAAAATTGTGGGGACCCCCTGTAATTTTGTGTGTGTAATTTTATCCCCCTTGGGGGTCCCGACCCCCAATTTGGGAACCCCTGTTATAGATTATGTTCCTCTCCACTGCCAGGATTAAAGCCATGACAAACACGCCGCTGCACTTCTGGAACGGTGCTGAGTAAATA